CAAACTATTATGTATAGAATGGATAAACAACAAGGTCCTACTGTATATCACAGGGAATTATATTTGATATCCTGAGATAAACCATAATGGAAAAGAATATAAGAAAGAATGTATATATATTTTTATATATATGTATAACTGAGTCACTTTGCTGTACAGCAGAAATTAACACAACATTGTAAGTCAACTGTATTTCAATTTTAAAAAAGCCGTGGTCTTCTTAAATTTTTTTCTCTCTCCCACATACAGCTTACACATAATGAGTCACCAAATCCAATGACGGTTCATTTAAAAATCACTTTTATGGGTCCTTTTTGTTTATTCCCACTCTTTCCATACTACTGCTGGCTCCTGACAATTCACGGATCAAAAATGTGGACTTCTAGTTGGTTTCTCCATTTTCAATTCTTCTCCTTCCACTTCTGTATACACTAGAGTCAAGTTACTAACTTGACTTAAGCTTCAATTTCCATCTTGTCCATACATTATCCACAAACTATTTTATAACCTTCTACTCTCCATAGGATAAAAACAATAAAATCCATACTCCTTAGTCTGAATTTTAAAGTCCCCTTTGTCTGCTAGCAATATTCCATCTTCTACTAATCCCTAACATCACTATTATAGGTTCTTTTCCCTAGAATATGCCTTGCTCACTTGTTTCCATGCGTTTGCACCTGCCATCCTCTCTTCTTCCTGAAATTTCAGCCCCACTTTTGTACTACGTACCTTGCCATCAAAGCCTGGTTAAGTTCTATCTCCTAGATGAAGTCTTCCAAGACCACTGCAGCTCATACCAGTCTCCCCCTTCTATAAATTATTTTACTTAAATTTTCCACAATTCATTTCAACATTTAACCAATGATGTTTTTACTCCAATATGTTTTCAACATAATTAGAATAAGAAGTCTAAGCTTCTGGTGCTTAAAGATATTTCACTTATTTCATTTATAACTCCTAAACACAAAAGACTTTTTTCCCCAACTGACTTAATGGAAAACCTCTTCTTGTAGGACTGGACCATGCCTATATTGACTGCATACTATCCTTTATGTACTAGAAATAAAAAGATGAAAAATGATTTTAAATGCATTTCTCAAGCTCTTGCCAAATTAACAGTCTGGTACCTGATATACAAAAGAATACAACATTTATTTTAAAGAACATTGAACCTATTATCTCACTTGATTCTCACATTCCAACAAAATAGAGATGGCAATAATTATAACAGCTAATACTTATTATTATGTGTCAGGCATTGTATTTTCTCATTTATTATCTCATGTGTTATTTAATATATTATCTCATATAATCCTTTAACAGCACTGTCAGAAGGTACTATTATGATCTACCTTCAACATATACCACATGTTCTTATATTCATGACACACATAAGTAAACTGGGGTATAAGATTTCTGTAAAAGTTTGTACAGCTACCTACTCTTGTGCCTGTGACCAGCCTCTAAGTGTCTTTATTACCAATGGAGTGAACTTTTAAACTCATTCTGAGGCAATTACTTTAGTGTGTGTGTGTATGCTTTTTTTTTTTTTTTGTCCAAATTATTATTTCCTCTAATTTAAGGTTTTGGTCTAAAAAGATTTGCTCTGATATTATGATGCCATGTACTGCCATCACCAAACCAGATTCTTTGTTTTTGTAATTTTTTTGACAAATTATGGTTATATAAAGTAGGTTAAGAGTTTGGTCTCCAGAGACAGACTGACTATCTGTGCTCCGCACGTACAGGCTCAGCGGCCATGGCTCACGGGCCCAGCCGCGGATGGGATCTTCCCAGACCAGGGCACGAACCCGTGTCCCCTGCATCGGCAGGCAGACTCTCAACCACTGCGCCACCAGGGAAGCCCCAGACTGACTATTTTTAATCAGCCTTCTGCCCCTTACTTGCCCTCTAATTTCAGGCAAGCTTCTTAATCTATCTAAGATGAGCTCCCTCATCTATAAACTAGAAATAATTTCAATACTATTTGATATGATTACTACAGGATTAAATAGGGTAAACTGTGTACAAGCACTTAGAGTAATGCTTGACATACAGTAATCACACAACAAATGATGTGTTATTATTATCGCTCTTTCAAAAGCAATAGTACTATTATTACTATTTCTGTACTATCTGTATGTACAGACTTGGTGTAAACACCAAGAATAAAGTGTTAACAAGACCAACATTATAGTGGGGAAGACAGACAACAAATTGAACAGAAAGCAGAAAAGTAAATAAAAAAGATATTACCTATTAGCTGTTTTATAATCAAGCATTAATTATAGTTACTATAATTAATTGTACCCACAATTAATATCGTTAAGCTAAAAATTTTAAGGACTCAATCACGGGAATCCTAGTTCCCATATCAATATAAAATGCTAAAATAACTTGAAAAACAAATATTCCAGTATAATTACTAACAATTCCATATTTTTCTTGCATAAATGGAATTTTCATTTATAAATACTCAAATATGGTTTATTGGGCAGCTCCAATTTTATGACAATGTTCTGGAATAAGGTAGCTAGGATAGGATACTAACAAATAAGTCAGGAATTCATTCAGTAATAATAGTAACTTATTCATTCAAAATAAGCCATTTCACTAATAATTTGTTCATTTCAATAAATTAATTGACTCTTGATAACAAGTAGTAGCAGTAGTTAAGAATGTGTTCATTCATTCAATAAATGTTTATTAAGGGTCTACTTAGCAGGTATTGTCCCAGACACTGGATATTATCAATAAATATGAAACAAAAATAGTTCCAGCCCTTAATGAGCTTATAACTAGTAGAGAAGAGATAATTACGTGATTTTTTAAAAAATTCACCATAGTGCAATAAAGAATAATTATGACATAAGTATGAAATAGGGTATAAAGGAACAAGTAGTCAATTCTCAGGGAGTTTATTCATTTACCAAATATTATATGATTATTGATATTAACATTTTACTTATTATTTGTTCATATTAATCACTATAATTATTTACATTAAATTATTACTGAGAACTTACTATGACACTGTTAACAATGTCTTTGTCTTTAAAGGCAAAGATGATACCAAAGTAAACAAAATAAACAAAAATCCCTGTCTGCATGGAGCTTACAATCGGTAGGAGGAGACAGAAAATATGGAGAAGTAAAATATATAGTATGTCAGTCTTTAATGAATGGTATGAAGAAGTACAAAGGAGGGTGAGAATATAGAGAGTACAAAGAGAATGGGAGTATAAATTTGCTTGGTTCTGACATACATTGCTTGAGAGGTGTTTTTTTGTTTGGTTTTGGGTTTTTTTTTGCTTTAAAAAAAATCTTCCTCTCAGTATAATGATAATTTTCCTTTCTCACAGGGTTTCCCAGATAAAGTTCTGCCTAGGACTCATGGCCACTATAGTTTGGACATGAACTGTTTCTCAAAGTAGGTGATGAAATTGTGCTAATCAAATTACATCAATCTTTAAAAAAATCCGACTGCCAGTTAATGTAACAGCACTCACGGATGCCCCTGGGAAGCAGGGCAAAGCTGGGCGAACAGAAAATGGAGAAAAAGGCATAGAGGCAGAAGGCAGAAAGGAGAAGGGGAAAAAAATAACATTTTAGAGCAAAGAGGTGAGGATAGCGTTGACAATTGCTGGAGCCTCTGAAGCTTTGGCATCCTGAAGTTGACTACTCCTGAGACGGCCCCTGACTGCCCCCTTGTGGCTACTAGCACACCCTTCAGCGCCGACACACTCTAATAAAATAAAATTTCATTGAAAATAACAAGGCAACCTATACCGATTATGCTGCACTTCCCTGCCCCTTCCCTCTTAGTTTAGCGAAATGCTGATATTCTTACAAGACAAATCCTCTACAAGGCCCTGTCACACCATCAACTAATATTGTAGCCAAGATAGACCTGAAGGGGGCACTCTCAGGCCCTGCCATGCATCATCAATTGCTCCACACAGGAAGAGACAGTTGCCTACATAACCAAGAGGACGGCACCTCTACTTATAATACAGCAGGAAGAAAAAAAGCTTCTCTCCGGCCCACATATCCCTGCCAATCGGAAACTAAGCAGTCCAGCCAAGGAGAAAACCCCATACTTTGGACTCCCAGCTTCCTCAGTGGACTCTTTGGTTATCACACTCCCTCCCACCTTCCACCCCTTTTCTCTATAAAAGCAAATTCTCTTCCTCGTTCTCTGGATTTGCTTACGGCCAGTCAAGGTTCATATGTCCTGAATTGCATTCCTCTGGCTATTCCTGAATAAACTCACTTTTGCTGATAAAATAACCGGCTAGTACTAAACTTGGCACTAATAATTTGGCAATGGGCAATCCTCTATAATCTATAAACAAAAATACTAGATTATCCCAAATCCTCTCTTTGTTCTGGAGATTGAGGCTAAGGCCCATTTCTCCCTGCAGAACTGGTAGGAATTTCCTCAGAAAGCTTTGCATCTGACTTTAAAACGTGCACACATGTTTCCACATATTTGATTGCCAACTATGCGTCAGGCCCTGAGGTACAATGGGAAGCAAGAACAGACGCCGGCATTGCCTTCGTGAAACCCGGGGATTAGGGGAAGAAATTATCAAACAGGCGCAAAAATAAATGTGAGGAAACCTACCGAGATAAACGCCATGAAGAAAATGAGAGGTTTCTCGAAGGAAGCGATGTCCCAACAGGCAAAAGAGGCGGGAAACGCATTCCACTAGAGGGATGCGTTAACTACGGCCCCATATTTCATTTGATGAGTCTCCCTAGTGAGGATGGCAAGAAAAACTAATCAATCATTTTAAAAATTAACAGGCAGCCACCTGGGACGGCCTGAGAGCCCCGCGTAACACGGGAAGTTTAGGCGCCGGCGCCGCTCACCTCGTCTTGAAGTTCTCGCGAGGTCTGCACGCGAAAATCAGAAGGTCGCCAGGTGCGCACGCGCAGTCGTGGGACAGCCGGCAGTTAGGGCCCTCGGCGGATCTGTCTGTGTTGGGGGTCCAGGGATGCCGTGGCTCTTCTGCTTGTGTGTCGTGCTCCTGCTAGTTCGGGTCTCCCGTGAGCTGAACAACATTAGTCGAGCCAGGAGATTGTGCGGCAGGCATCTGCTGCAAGAAATAGTAAAACTCTGTGGCACTGTTAACTGGAGCCACAGTGAGGAGGAAAAGCCTTTCACACAGCTGCTTTCCCAGGCCTCGGAGAAGGTCGAAACCTTTATCCCTGACCGGTTAGAAAGCTCGCAAACCACTTTCCCGGTCTGGAGGAGAGCGACAAACCCAGGTAAAAATCTAAACCAGAGGCATGTTTTTTCATCTTTGTACACTTCTTATTCCCGAATTTGCCCTGCCAGGCATGGAACTTCTGCAGGAAATGGAATTTGTGCCTAATACATATACAAAAGCCATGAAGTCTTTGTTTTTGTTTGTTGTAACTTGGAGGAAAGAAGCGTACACATGTAAGGCTACACATTTGTATAAGAATAATGCTGTTTCCCTCGCTTTCCCTTTCTGCAGTGCCCTTGTCACCTGGCAAACTATTTTGCCCTTCAAAGCCTGATTTAGGTATCATTTTCCCTGTGAACTCATCACTGACCATTTCATAGCTACTCACTCCATTCTCCATTCTACCGCAATATCTAACACATAATTCTATTTAACTATTTATATTTAACTGTAATATTTAACTGTAATGAGGACCTGCTACATAATTGGCCCGGCCTAGTGCAAATAAAAATGCAGGGCCCCTTGTTCAAAAAGCAGGAAAAACTGTTAAAGGTACTAAAATATAAAGCTTTTTACCTTTCTTGTGCGTATCTCCTCTGCTCAAACACATGGTCCTCTGTCCCATCAGACTTCACATACAAGTCAAAAGATAAAATTATTGAGAATTTCAAGACTGGGACAACAGAGCATTAAACAAAATGCAGGGTCTTTCTAAGCACTAGGCTTGTGCTACTGGCAAGTCTCAATCTCTTAATGCCAGCCCTGTATGCCATACCATGTTATAGGGGTTGCTCATGTATGTTTTTATCTGAAATGTCTAGCAGAGGGCTGAGCACAGGGTATGTGCTTAATATGTATTGAATTTATACTTAATGCTTTTAAGCAGTCTTTAGGAAGAATATTTTTGTTTCAGATCCATTCTTCTGTTTTTACATTTTGTGAGTAACACATTTTAGTCCCAATATGTTTGCCATTTTAAAAGAAAATGCACTTTATTTGTAGACTGTGGTCTATAGAGTGTAGTGTCATTGAAGTTATTGCCTTTTATAGTAATCCAGTTGATTCTATTTGGACAAATTTTGCAAAAGTCAAGATTTCTGAAATTAAGGAAAGGAGTTAGACTATCGTGCCAAAAGAGAGACCCTAATGTAGATGACTGAAACAAGCTAAAACATTGCCTAGCACATTATAAACACTTATTCTTTTTTTTGTTTTGAGGTATAGTTGGTTTACAATATTAGTCTCAGGTGTATAACATGGTGATTCAAAATTTCTATAGATTATATTCCATTTAAAGTTATAAAGTATTGGCTATATTCTGATAAGCACTTATTCTTCTTTAATGAATGAATGAATAAATCTTATAAGATTATTGTTGCTAAGAGAATAAAATTGTTTTTATTGATGTGTATTTGATTTACAATGTTGTGTTAGTTTCGGGTGTACAGCAAATTGACTCAGTTGTATTTATATATAATATTAGTTTAGTTATTAGATTAGTTATATATGTATATTTGTATATATTCTTTTTCAGATTTTTTCCATTATAGGTTATTACAAGATATTGAATATAGTTCCCTGTGCTACACAGAAAGTCCTTTTTTAATTTATTGTATATATAGTAGTGTGTATCTGTTAGTCCCATACTTCTAATTTGTCCCTCCCCCCTTTCCCCTTTAGTAACCATAAGTTTGTTTCCTATGTCTATTTCTGTTTTGTAAATAAGTTCATTTGTATCATTTTTTTAGATTCCACATATAAGTGATAATCATGATATTTGTCTTTCTCTGTCTGACTTACTTCATTTAATATGATAATCTCTAGGTTGCACCATGTTGCTACAAATGGCATTATTTCATTCTTTTTTATGGATGAGTAATATTCCATTGTGTGTGTTCCTTTGGTTTTTAAGTAAAAATAAAAGACACATTTTTCATTTTCACCCATAACTGTTGAACAATGTATTCACCATTTTGTTCCACTACCCTCTGCCATTTTCCAGGCAACTTCATAATTCCATCTTCCCAAAACTTTATATCTTTTTGAGCAAAGAACTGTTCCAGGTGCCTTTTACAATCTTCCAGGGAATTGAAATTTTTTCCATTAAGAGAATTTTGTAAAGACCAAAATAAGTGGAAATCTGAAGGTGCAGTGTCTGGTTAATACGGCAGATGAATCAGAACGTCCCAGCCAAGCTGTAACAGTTTTTGCCTGGCCATCAAAGGAACATGTGGTCTTGTGTTATCCTGATGGAAGATTATGTGTATTCTGTTGACTAATTCCAGACGCTTTTCACTGAGTGCTGCTTTCAGTTGGTCTAACTGGGAGCAGTGCTTGTTGGAATTAATCGTTTGGTTTTCAGGAAGGAGCTCATAGTAGAGGATTCCCTTCCAGTCCCACCATATACACAACATCCCCTTCTTTGGCTGAAGACCGGCCTTTGGTGTGGTTGGTGGTGGTTCATTTCGCTTGCCCCATGATCTCTTCCATTCCACTTTATTGTACAGTGTCCACTTTTCATCGCCTGTCACAATTTGTTTTAAAAACGGAATGTTTTCATTACATTTCAGTAGAGAATCACATGTGGAAATATGGTCAAGAAGGTTTTTTGCTTAACTTATGTGGAACCCAAACATCGAAGTGATTAATATAACCAAGCAAATGATTTTCATTGCTTGATTTGGATATTTTGAGTATGTTGGCTGTCTCCTGCATGGTATAACGTTGATTGTTCTCAATTAATGTCTCGATTTGATCGCTATCAACTTCAACTGGTCTGCCCGACTATGGAGCATCGTCCAGTGAGCAACCTCCAGCACAAAACTTCGCAAATCACTTTTGACACATTCGATCAGTCACAGCACCTTCTCCATACACTGCACAAATTTTTTGCGTTTCAGTTTCATTTTTACCTTTCTTGGAATATTAACGAAGCATAATATACCGAAAATGTTGCTATTTTTCTTCCATCTTCAGTATTAAAATGGCTACACAAAAATTCACCAATTTTGATAAGGTTTTTTTCTTTTTAGATTTTTTTTGGTGGGGACCATTTTTAAAGTCTTTATTGAATTTGTTACAATATTGCTTCTGTTTTACATTTTCGTTTTTTGGCCGAGAGGCATGTGGGATCTTAACTCCCTGACCAGGGATTGAACCCAAACCCCTGCATTGGAAGGTGAAGTCTTAACCACCGGACCGCCAGGGAAGTCCCTAATAAGTGGTTTTTTTTTTTTAATATGCTGATATGACAGCTGTCACAATACAAACTAACAAAATTGTTTCGAATGAAGTTAAGGACACCTAAACGCTACCAGAGCCATCTTACGGAAAACAAAAACAAAAACAAATGAACATTTTGGCCAACCCAATAATTTTTAAAGGAACCTCCATACTGTTCTTCATAGTGGCTGTACCAGTTTATATTCCCACCAACAGTGTAGGAGGGTTCCCTTTTCTCCACACCCTCTCCAGCATTTATTATTTGTAGACTTTTTGATGATGGCCATTCTGACCAGTGTGAAGTAATACATCATTGTAGTTTTGATTTGCATTTCTCTAATAACTAGCGATGTTGAGCACCTTCATGTGCCCATTGACCATCTGTAGTCTTCTTTGGAGAAGTGTCTATTTAGTTCTTCTGCCCAGTTTTGACTGGGTTGTTTGTTTTGTTTTGTTTTGTTTTATATTGAGCTATATGAGCTGTTTGTATATTTTGGAAATTAAGCCCTTGTTGGTCACATCATTTGCAAATATTTTCTCCCATTCTGTAGGTTGTCTTTTCATTCCGTTTATGGTTTCCTTTGCTGTGCAAAAGCTTATAAGTTTGATTAGGTCCCCTTTGCTCATTTTTGCTTTTATTTCTATTGCCTTGGGAGACTGACCTAAGAAAACATTGGTATGATTTATGTCAGAGAATGTTTTGCCTATGTTCTCTACTAGGAATTATATGGTGTCATGTCTTATATTTAAGACTTTAAGCCATTTTGAGTTTATTTTTGTGTATGGTGTGAGGGAGTGTTCTACCCTCATTGATTTACGTGGGGCTGTCCAGCTTTCCCAGCACCACTTGCTGAAGAGACTGTCTTTTCTCCATTGTATATTCTTGTCTCCTTTGTTGAAGACTAATTGACCATAAGTGTGTGGGTTTATTTCTGGGCTTTCTATTCTGTTCAGTTGATCCTTATGTCTGTTTTTGTGCCAATATCACACTGTTTTGATGACTGTAGCTTTGTAGTATTGTCTAAAGTCTGAGAGGGTTGTGTCTCCAGCTTTGTTCTTTTTCCTTAGGATTGCTTTGGCAATTCTGGGTCTTTTGTGGGTCCATATTAATTTTAGGATTATTTGTTCTAGTTCTGTGAAAAATGTTGTGGGTCATTTGACAGGGATCGCATTAAATCTGTAGATTTCTTCCAATCCAAGAGCATGGGATATCTTTCCGTTTCTTTGAATCATCTTCAGTTTCATTTATCAATGTTTTATAGTTCTCAGGGTATAAGTCTTTCACTCCTTGGTCAGGTTTATTCCTAGGTTTTTTTTGTTTTTTTTTTTTTTGATGTGATTTTAAAAGGGATTTTTTTTTTTTTTTTTTTACTATCTGTTTCTCATATCTCATTGTTAGTGGAAAGAAATGCAACAGATTTCTGTATGTTAATCTTGTATCCTACTACCTTGCTAAATTTGTTTAGCAGTTCTAGTAGTTTTTGTGTGGAGTCTTTAGGGTTTTCTATATAGAGTATCATGCCATCTGCATATAAGGGGAATGAAAACTTTTAAAGACAGAAACAACAGAAAGCATCAGACTGAATCTTAATCATTTTCCACCATCAAAACCGCCTACATATAAACTCACTTTATCCTGCTCTTATAAAGAAGGAATTGTTTCTCACCAGTCTCTAAATTGTACCTTAGTTCAGTTGATATTCACACTTTAATGTGTATATGAATCACCTGGGGAATACTGTTAATATACAGATTCTGATTCAGTAGGTCTGGGGTGGGGCCTGAGAGTCTACAGTTTTATAAGCTCCCAGGTGATGCTTATTCTGTTAGTTGGAC